TCAAATAAATGCTGTTCTTTTGAACTTTCTATTCATCTGTGAATCCTGAAAAATAAAATGTAGCACGGTTTGTCACGTGTGCGCTACTGTGGAGGAGCGAGGAACGAGGAGACCAGGAGTACAATCCAAACACAGACTTTAATCACATCACGGGAACCAGGAACTCACATGTAGCGGGAAGGAAGACATTCACAGACATTAACAACACCGGACGCCGAACTGATAACAAGGAACACTATTTATACAAATGACATGCCGATGGGATAACGAGACACACCTGGGATCAATAGAACTGAAAAGGGGACACCTGGAACAGATAAGGACAGGAACGGGAAGGACCAAATATGGGCATGGAAGGCACATGGGGAGCAAGACACACACAAAACACGGAACAAAGTCTGACATGTGGAGGAGCGAGGAACGAGGAGACCAGGAGTACAATCCAAACACAGACTTTAATCACATCACGGGAACCAGGAACTCACATGTAGCGGGAAGGAAGACATTCACAGACATTAACAACACCGGACGCCGAACTGATAACAAGGAACACTATTTATACAAATGACATGCCGATGGGATAACGAGACACACCTGGGATCAATAGAACTGAAAAGGGGACACCTGGAACAGATAAGGACAGGAACGGGAAGGACCAAATATGGGCATGGAAGGCACATCGGGAGCAAAACACACACAAAACACAGAACAAAGTCTGACAGGTTTCCACAAAAATATTGTGCAGCACGACTGTTTTCAACATTGATAAAAATCAGAAATGTTTCTCGAGCAGCAAATCAGCATATTAGAATGATTTCTGAAGATCATGTGACACTGAAGACTGGAGTAATGATGCTGAAAATACAGCTGCGCATCACAGAAATAAATTACAGTTTAACACATATTCACACAGAAAACAGCTGTTTTACATTCTAATAATATTTTACTGCTTCTGCTAAATGTGGCTTTGGTGAGCAGAAGAGACTTCATTCAGAAATTAAAAGAAAGAAAAAAATTCTTACCAACCACAAACTTTTGAACAGTAGTTTATATTTGCATAACATTATTTTCATAATTATATGATTCACCCCACAGATCAGTGTGTTTTTATTCTCAAAGTTGATTCTCATGACTGTAATGCTGATTTTATTTATTTATATTTGTATCAGAGCATCTAGAATACTAGATTTTGTTAAAAGCCATAAATTACAGACAGCACAATAAATATTACAATGTGTATAAACTGAAATCAAACTCACAAACAACTGTTTTTTTTTTTTGTAAAATTAAAAATTTAATAAGATATTAACAATCTAATTTTATTTTTTTATTTTTTTTATTTATTGATTTTGAGATGAAATATGAAAAAAATGATTTTCTTTCTTAGTATTTTTGTCTTGTTTTCTAGTATAAATATCTAAAAATTCTTGAATCAAGATGCATTTACTTTAAAGGTAAAATGACTTAAGATATTAAGTCTTGTTTTCTGAAAAAAAGATAAACATTTAGTTGGCGTTAACTGTAGTTAAAACAAGCAAAAATATCTGCCAATGGGGCAAGAAAAATAGACTCAGACTTTGAATCAAGATTATTTTTCTTACCCCATTGGCAGATATTTTTGCTCGTTTTAAGCAAAAACGGACACAATTTTGATTATTTCCTTTAGAAAACAAGACTTAAAATCTTAAGTCATTTCACCTGTCAAGTAAATGCATCTTGATTCAAGAACGTTTAGATATTTATTCTATAAAACAAGACACAAATACAAAGTAAGAAACCCATTTTTTGCAGTGTGTGTATAAACTTCTTTACAATTGAACAATTATATCATAAATAATTGTGTTTTTGCAATG